TACCATCACTGGTCAAGTCAGCCTACACTACACCGGTCAAAGCAATGTGTTGAGTATTCCTTCCCACCTCCATATTGTGTCACTTCAAAACAAGATGTCACTAGTGATTTTGAAGACGCAAACAGTAGTAAATGTGTCAGTTTTCAATAGTAATTCAAAAGGGTTTATGTAGAAAATTAAAAAGGATCAGGAGCAATTCAGTAGTGATCAGTAGTGACAACACCACACACACACATGGCAGTAGTAATTCAATAGGGATTGAACAGGCATACAACAGTATTATGTAGGCATTACATAGTAATTCAATAGTGATTTGAATACCAGTAGTGAAACATTCCAATTTATCACTACTTAAATTACTACACAAGTTTGGCAGACAGTAGTATGGTGAATAGGCTACTTATATAGCAGAAAGGGGGTGTAAGAAGGACATGGATGAGGATTCTGATTTGATATGAAGGTTATGTGCACAATGCAATACAAGTTGATCAGAAAAGTGTTTGTGTTGTTTACAGTAAGTAACTCCCACCTGTGAGGTAACCTTTCAAATCTGATATTTGGGAAACAGTTGTATAAATCAGTAATTGTCAAATAACATATTTCAGACAGAGGAGGCTGGTGGGAGGAGCTATAGAAGGACATGCTCATTGTAATGGCTAGAATGGATTCAATGAAACGGAGTCAAACACATTGTTTCCATGTGTTTGATACCATTCCATTGATTCCATTCCAGCCATTACAATGAGCTCGTCCTCCTACAGGTCATCCCACCAGCCTCCCCTGGTTTCAGATGGGTTTTGATGCATCACCCGTGGCTTGACAGAAACCTATATGATATATAGTTCCCTCTACATTATAACTCACTTCCTTTTCCAGCTAATTTGATCAATTTAAGTGAAAATAAATCATTAGTGAGTAAATCTGATAACACTTTCCATGCCCACTTCAATTGTGCAACTGCAGGTAGTCCATTTCGAAGGCACATTCTCCATACATTCAAAATAAACATTTATGAACACACATTGTTTAATATATACACATTCCCTGAATGATCCATACAAAGGAATCTGTATATTGTAGGATTCTTCACAAACGGAAATGTATAGTCGTGGTCAAAAGTTGAGAATGACACAAGTATTGGTCTTCACAAAGTTCGCTGCTTTAGTGTTATGAGATATTTTTGTCAGATGTTACTATGGTATACTGAAGTATAATTACAAGCATTCCATAAGTGTCAAAGGCTTTTATTGACAATTACATTAAGTTTATGCAAAGAGTCAATATTTGCAGTGTTGACCCTTCTTTTTCAAGACCTCTGCAATCCGCCCTGGCATGCTGTCAATTAACTTCTGGGCCACATCCTGACAGATGGCAGCCCATTCTTGCATAATCAATGCTTGGAGTTTGTCCGAATTTGTGGGTTTTTGTTTATCTGCCCGGCTCTTGAGGATCAACCACAAGTTCTCAATGGGATTAAGGTCTGGGGAGTTTCCTGGCCATGGACTCAAAATGTCGATGTTTTGTTCTTATGGCAAGGTGCTCCATCATGCTGGAAAAGGCATTGGTCGTCACCAAACTGTTCTTGGATGGTTGGAAGAAGTTGCTCTTGGAGGATGTGTTGGTAACATTCTTTATTCATGGCTGTGTTCTTAGGCAAAATTGTGAGTGAGCCCACTCCCTTGGCTGAGAAGCCCTGACGCATTCTTCACAACAATTGAAGTTCTTGATGATCCGATAAATGGTTGATTTAGGTGCAATCTTACAAGCAGCAATATCCTTGCCCGTGAAGCCCTTTTTGAGCAAAGCAATGATGACGGCGCGTGTTTCCTTGCAGGTAACCATGGTTAACAGAGGAAGAACAATGATTTTCAAGCACCACCCTCCTTTTAAAGCTTCCAGTCTGTTATTCTAACTCAATCAGCATGACAGAGTGATCTCCAGCCTTGTCCTCGTCAACACTCTCACCTGTGTTAACGAGAGAGTCACTGACATGATGGCAGCTGGTCCTTTTGTGGCAGGGCTGAAATGCAGTGGAATGTTTTTTTGGGGATTAAGTTCATTTTCATGGCAAAGAGGGACTTTGTCCCAATTAATTGCAATTCATCTGATCACTCTTCATGACATTCTGGAGTATATGCAAATTGCCATCATCAAAACTGAGGCAGCAGACTTTGTGAAAATTAGTATTTGTGTCATTCACAAAACATTTGACCACGACTATAGAATGTTGAGGCTGTACATAAGGGGGAAATAGAATATAACCGTTTAGGTTTCGAACGAGAAAGAGATGTTTCCTGCACAACATTCATCATTATGATTGATGCAACACATTATACAGCAAGAGCAAAAAAAGAGCCTCCACCTCCCAAGAGAGGAAATTATGCAATAACTATCAAATGTGTATATATATATATTTTTTTTTTTTCACTCTAGACTGAATGTTGACAGGTAGGAATATACACTCAAGCACATCCCCCAAAAGCGACAGTGGTACAACACTTCTGTTCTGGGTGGTGAACAATGAAAACATAGGGTGGTGGCTGACTAATACGGAAATCTCTGACCCATGATCATCAAGCCACCTGGATGAAGTGAAATACAACAGGATTTGCGGGAGAGAGGAACACAAATGTAACTTATTAAACTATTCAAATAACAACATTACAAAAACATAACACATTTCCAAAATAAAATGGTAACTTTTACATTCAGATAATTTTTAAAGGTTTGAATTTATTTGTAAGAATTTAATTTCTCTATATCCAGTCTACAAGCTGGCAAGGTAAGAAGACACAGTGCAGCCTTTTTAACTATATGGACAATAAATCTACAAGGCACAATCATAAGCTTGTTGTGAGTATCAATGTGGTGTCCTCAAGGAATCCACTCCTGTCATAAGCACAGAAATTTTTTTTTTAAAACACGTTTGTAACCCATATTTTTTGCTGAAGATTTTCCGAAAATCTAGCATTGAAGCAACGGCAGTTATTTTGCAAAACCAGACTGTGATCTCAGAATATTATTTTTTTCCCGGTAGGTAAACAAGCCAAGCCACTTCCATTGTCGTTGACTGTTAAAACAAGAGGAGATGCACTCTAACCTTTGTCCAGTCTATCACATCAACCTCCCCCACCCATAAATGTATTTTTTCAGGAACACACTTCCACATATTTTCTTCCTCTATATTTTGACTACATACTAAACATTTTTAAGACAATTGTGAAATATATTGTACACACTGTTCCTGGATAAATATACAAGTAACTTTCACAAATCTTAACTTGACTGCCGTGTCAATACTTTGAATAAATCCTTCATTGATGAAATTTAAAAGCTTTGGACAAAGGTTGAAAATAAGACTTGGTCCATACAGTGGCTTGCAAAAGTATTCACCCCCCTTGGCATTTTTCCTATTTTGTTGCCTGGCATTTTCCCTATTTTGTTGCCTTACAACCTTGAATTAAAATTGAATTTTGGGGGGTTTGTATAATTTGATTTACACAACATGCCTACCACTTTGAAGATGCAAAATATTTTTTATTGTGAAACAAACAAGTAATAAGACAAAAAAAAGAAATTGAGCGTGCATAACTATTCACCCCCCCAAAGTCAATACTTTGTAGAGACACCTTTTGCAGCAATTACAGCTGCAAGTCTCTTGGGGTATGTCTCTATAAGCCTGGATCTAGCCACTGCGATATTTGCCCATTCTTCAAGGCAAAACTGCTCCAGCTCCCTCAAGTTGGATGGGTTCCGCTGGTGTATAGCAATCTTTAAGTCATACCACATATTCTCAATTGGATTGAGGTCTGGGCTTTGACTAGGCCATTCCAAGACATTTAAATGTTTCCCCTTAAACCACTCGAGTGTTGCTTTAGCAGTATGCTTAGGGTCATTGTCCTGCTGGAAGGTGAACCTCCATCCCAGTCTCAAATCTCTGGAAGACTGAAACGGGTTTCCCTCAAGAATTTCCCTGTATTTAGCGCCATCCATCATTCCTTCAATTCTGACCAGTTTCCCAGTGCCAATGAAAAACATCCCCACAGCATGATGCTGCCACCACCATGCTTCACTGTGGGGATGGTGTTCTTGGGGTGATGAGAGGTGTTGGGTTTGCGCCAGACATAGCGTTTTCCTTGATGGCCAAAAAGCTCAATTTTAGTCTCATCTGACCAGAGTACGTTCTTCCATATGTTTGGGGAGTCTCCCACATGCCTTTTAGCGAACACCAAATGTGTTTGCTTATTTTTTTCTTTAAGCAATGGCTTTTTTCTGCCCACTCTTCCATAAAGTCCATCTCTGTGGAGTGTACGGCTTAAAGTGGTCCTATGGACAGATATTCCAATCTCCGCTGTGGAGCTTTGCAGCTCCTTCAGGGTTATCTTTAGTCTCTTTGTTGCCTCTGATTAATGCCCTCCTTGCCTGGTCCGTGAGTTTTGGTGGGCGGCCCTCTCTTGGCAGGTTTGTTGTATTTTTTAGAATTTGTATGTCCATTACATGAAATCCAAATCAATTTACATTACAGGTTGTAATGCAACAAAATAGGAAAAACGCCAAGGGGGATGAATACTTTTGCAAGACACAGTTTCCATGCATACATCTGAAAAAATATATATCTGAGAAACTGATTCTTAAATTTTTTTGAAAATGTGTTGGTATACCCAAAACTACTAAGAACAGAAACATATTTATTGAGGGACGCTGTATCACTTGATAAGAAAAAGTAAACCAACCTTAAGTCAAAAATATCAACCCCCCCCAAAAAAGGCTTTAATTCCAACTTTAGTAGGATTACTGCTTGTTTTTTTAGTCAGATGTATCCCCACTTTCTTTCCTGTTAGGCATTGATCCAGGATCTAGTCTTATGTCCCAATATCCACACTAGCACACTACTTAGTATGCCAATACATCACACCATACTACATAGTGCACGAGTTAGGGCATTGGGACACAATGGAGTTGAAGTGTCCTCTCCATTGGTGTTTTTTGGCTTGTCTTTAGTCCTCGTCGTGGTTGTAGAGGATGTCAGCGACCTTGTCCTTCCTGTGGGCGGGAGGCACCAGGTGGTGAGGTAGCTCGGTGGGCAGCTCGTACCCCTCCAGCTTCACCTTGATCAGGTGCTGCGCCAGGGCAAACTCCTCGTCATCCAGCATGCCGTCTTTATCACAGTCTGCCAGCTTCCAGATCTTCCCCAGGACTGTGTTGGGCAGACTGGAGCTCATCATCTCCTTCTTGGCGTTGACTCCACTGATCTTCCCGTTGATGGGATTCATGGAGTAGAAAATCTCATCGTACTTGTGTTTGTCACGGCTCACGATCCAGTCCTCGCAGTCAGACCCGGCGCTGATGCCCTCTCCGTAACCCTGGCCAAAGGGCCCGTCTTGGGAGCCCTCAAAGGCCCCGCCGCTCACCATGGCTGGGGGTGCCTTGCTCTCCTCGTCTCGGATCATGGTCATCAGGCCAGAGATCTTGTTAGCCAACATCTTGTCCACAGACTCGATCAGCTTCATCTTCAGGGAGGGGAACTTGCTGAAGTCATAGTGCTGGAGCTGCTCCTGTAAAAACAAAGACAGCAAGAAAGTTTAAGAAACAGGGATCAATATCATTTATATCACGTCCTGCTTCACAAAAGCCCACATTACAGTAAGACAGGGCTCTCCAACCCTATTCCTGGAGAGCTACCCTCCTGTAGGTTTTCGATCCAACCAGAGTTGTAACTAACCTGATTCAGCCCATCAACCAGCTAATTATTACAATCAGGTGTGCTAGATTACGGTTGGAGCGAAAACCTACAGGACAGTAGCTCTCCAGGAACAGGATTTGAGAACCCTGCAGTAAGACAACACCTTCCCACATCTATGCAGCCTACCCAATCAATTTTTATAGATACTGTTTACAGGCCTCCTGGGCCATATACAGTGTTCCTCACTGAGTTCCCTGAATTCCCATCGAACCTTGTAGTCATGGCAGATAGTATTCACATTTTTGGTGACTTCAATATTCACATGGAGAAGTCCAAAGACCCACTCCAAAATAATTTCGGAGCCATCATCGACTCAGTGGGTTTTATCCAACATGTCTCGGGACCTACGCATTGCCACAATCATACCCTGGGTCTAGCTTTGTCCCGTGGAATAGATATTGTGTATCTAAATGTTTTTCCTCATAACTCTGGACTATCGGATTACCATCGTTTTACGTTTGCAACAAATAATTTGCTTAGACCCCAACCAAGGATTATCAAAAGCTGCGCTATAAATTCTCAGACAACCAAAATATTCCTTGATGCTCTTCCAGAGGAAGGACGTCAGAGTACAAAAATCTGTTAACTACCTAACCAAGGATCTAAACGTAACCTTTGGTAATATCCTAGATGCAGTCACACTGCTAAAAACAACAAATGTCTCACAAGAAACTAGCTCACTGGTATACAGAAATGACCCAAGCACTGATGCAAGCTTCCAGAAAATTGGAACGGAAATGTCGCTCCACCAAATTGGAAGTCTTCCGACTAGCATGCAATATCGAAAATCCCTCACTGCTGCCCAATCAGCCTATTTTTCCAACCTGATTGAGAATAAAAACAATACATTTATTTTTGATACTGTTCAAAGCTAACTAAAAAGCCGCATTCCCCAAGTGAGGTTGGCCTTCACTTCAGCAGTGATGAATTCATGAACTTCTTCAACGAAAAGATCATGAACATTTGAAGAAAATTTACGGACTCCTCCTTGAATATGGCTATTTCTCCAAAACACAGTTGTCCTGAGTCTGCACAGAACTGCCATGACCTCGTATCAATGGAAAGACACACGTTTTTAAATCCTGTATCTCTCGAAACATTCAGCTGTCTACTGGACCCTATTCCAACTAAACTACTGAAAGAGCTACTTCATGTGCTTGGCCCTCCTATGTTGAGGTGGTAAGGGTAGGCAACAACACATCTGCCATGCTGATCCTTAACACGGGGGTCCCTCAGGGTGCGTGCTTAGTCCCCTCCTGTACGCCCTGTTCACCCACGACAGCGTGGCCATGCACGACTCCAACACAATCATTAAGTTTGCCGACGACACAACGGTGGTAGGCTTGATCATCGACAATGATAAGACAGCCTATAGGGAGGAGGTCAGAGACCTAGTAGTGTGGTGTCAGGACAACAACCTCTCCCTCAAAGTGAGCAAGACAAAGGAGCTAATCATACACGACAGGAAAAGGAGGGCCGAGCACGCCCCCATTCACATTGACGGGCTGTAGTGGAGCGGGTTGAGAGCTTCAAGTTCCTTGGTGTCCACATCACTAACAAACTATTATGATCCAAACACACCAAGGCAGTTGTGAAGAGGGAACGACAACACCTATTCCCCATCAGGAGACTGAAAAGATTTGGCATAGGTCCTCAGATCCTCAAAAGGTTATACAACTGCACCATTGAGAGCATCCTGACTGGTTGCATCACCGCTTGGTATGGCAACTGCTCGACATCCGACCGCAAGGTGCTACAGAGGGTAGTACGTACAGCCCAGTACATCACTGGGGCCAAGCTTCATGACATCCAGGACCTCTATACCAGGCAGCGTCAGAGAAAGGCCCTAAAGGTTATCAAAGACTCCTGCCACCCAAGTCATAGAATGTTCTCTCTGCTACCGCACGGCAAGCGGTACCAGAGCGTCAAGTTTAGGTCCAAAAGGCTCCTTAACAGCTTCTATCCCCAAGCCACAAGACTGCTAAACAGTTAATCAAATGGCTACCCGGACTATTTGCATTGACCCCCTTTTTTACACTGCTGTTTATTGTCTATGTATTGTCACTATACCCCTACCTACATGTACATACTACCTCAATTACCTCGACTAACCGGTACCCCCCCCCACATGGACTCGGTACCGGCACCCCCTGTATAAAGCCTTGTTATTGTTATTTTATTGTAACAATTTTTTATTTTTTTTTACTTTCGTTTATTAAAAAAAAAAATGTTTTAAATTTTAAAGCAAAACCTCTGCATTGTTGTTAAGGGCTTGTAAGTAAGCATTTCATGGAAAGGTCTACACCTGTTGTAGTAGGCGCATGTGATAAATAACATTTGATTTGATTTGATCATAATAAACGGCTCCCTATCCTCCGGATGTGTACCAAATTGGCAATAATAAAGCATCTCCTGAAAAAGCCAAACCTTGACCCAGAAATGTTTTTAATACACTAATCGGCCTATATCGAATCTCCCATTCCTCTCAAAAATGTTTGAAAAAGCTGTTGCTCAGCACCTCACTGCCTTCCTGAAGAAAAATAATGTATACAAAATGCTCCAGTCTGGTTTTAGTCCCAATCATAGTACTAAGACCACACTCGTGGAGGTGGTTAAATGACCATTAATGGCGTCAGACCAAGGCTCTGAGACTATCCTCGTGCTCCTAGACCGTAGTGCCGCTTTCGACACCATCGATCACCACATTCTTTTGGAAAGATTGGAAACCGCAATTGGTCTACGTGAACAAGTTCTTGCCTGGTTTAGTTCCTATCTGTCGGAAAAGTATCAGTTCTTCTCTGTGGATGGTTTGTCCTCTGTTTTCACTATATATGCTACCTCTTGGTGATGTCATACGGAACCACAATGTAAACGGTCACTGCTATGCAGACGACACACATCTGTACATTTCGATGAAACATGGTGAAACCCCAAAATTGCCTACCCTGGAAGCCTGTGTTTCAGACAAGGAAGTGGATGGCGGCAAATGTTTTAATTTTAAACTCAGACAAAACAGAGAAGCTAGTTCTAGGTCCCAAGAAACAAACAGTTCTCGTTCAAGTAGTTGTTTCGGTATTTCACTTATGGGATACGCCCCCAGCGTATTTGCCAGAAGCCTTTATTACACTACGCCAGCCATGACTGACTGGACATCGAGTGTGTGCGTCGGGGAGGGGCGTCCCTCCTACCCTACAAAAGGTCAGATACAGTGTCTCTGAGTCATTCAAACACCTCTTCTCGCTTTTCATCAGAAAGCTTTCCTCGACAACTGCATTTTCCGGAATTCCGGACGAACATATAAAAAATATTTCAAGATATTTCAAGCATTTTTTCATCTTCGTAACATTGCAAAAATCTGAAACTTTTTGTCCAAATTAGATGCAGAAAAGCTAATCCATGCTTTTGTCACTTCAAGATTAGACTACTGCAATGCTCTACTCTCCGGCTAACCAGATAAGGCACCAAATGAACTTCAGCTAGTGCTAAATATGGCTGCTAGAATCTTGACTAGAACAACAACAACAAAAATATTACCCCAGTGCTAGCCTCCCTACACTGGCTTTCTGTTAAGGCTAGGGCTGATTTCAAGGTTTTAATGCCACCGTGCCTCTACATCTGCATTGCTTGCTCTCTGGAGTTTTAATAGACTCTGTTTCTGTATAAGCATTTTGTGACAACTGCTGTTGTAAAAAGGGCTCTATAAATACATTTTATTGATTGACATGCGTAGGGTGCAGGTCATATCTTAAACCAGGGGTGTCAAACGTACGGCCCGCGGGCCGGATCAGGCCCGCAAACGGGTTTAATCCGGCCCGCGAGATGATTTCAAAAAAATATATAAAAAAAATAATGATTTTGTAAAGTATAAAAATGCGCTGCAATTTTTCAATAAAATAAACTGCTGTTCCAATTGCATCCACTGGATGGCGCAATAGTAATTGTGTTAAGCAAGCAAACTTTATACCGGGGCAGAGCAAGTAGGTCAAGCACGTGCAGCCAATGAGCTACTTTGTTTTGCCCGCGATATTTATTACGGCTTCTACTTTTAACATTATGTGCTTTGGCACCCTCATTGCTCCAATATGTCTCTGTCAAAAAAGAGAAAAGTGGACGCAGAGTGCAGAGTGTTCCAAGAAAAATGGTCATCCTATTTAATCACGGAATTGAATGGGAAAGCTGTATGTTTGGTGTGTTCAGAGCATGTTGCAGTGCTGAAAGAATATAACCTTCGTCGCCACTATGTGAGTCTTCATGCCGACAAATATGACAACTTTCAAGGACAGCGGAGATGAGAGAAGGTGAATGAACTGTTGGCGGGTCTGAAGAAACAGCAGTCTGTGTTTACTCACAGCCGAGACATCAGTGACGCTGCAGTGAAAGCTAGCTACCTCATTGCTAATGAAATCGCAGTGACTTCAAAACCATTTAGTGAGGGTGAATTTGTAAAAACATGCATGATAAAGGCAGCGGAGATTGTGTGCCCTGAAAAGCGGCAGGCTTTTGCAAATATCAGCCTGACAAGAAACACAGTTGCAGACAGGATTTCCGATCTTTCAGTGGATTTGGACAGCCAGTTGAAGCAAAAAGTAAAGTCATTTATTGCGTTTTCGGTTGCAATTGATGAAAGCACGGACATTACAGATGTTGCACAACTGGCCATTTTTTCATCCGCGGAGTTGATGACACATTGACCGTCACCGAGGAGTTCGTGGAGTTGGTGCCGATGACAGATACAACGACAGCAGCTGATATTTTTACCGCACTCGTCGGCGCGCTGGACAGGGTCGGAGTGGACTGGTCCCGCGCTGTCAGCCTGGCTACAGATGATGCGCCCTCAATGATCGGGAAAAAAGCAGGCGTTGTGACAAAGTTCAGAGAGAAAGTGCAATCTGCAAATGGAGGACGTGATTTTTTGACTTTTCACTGTATTTTGCACCAGGAGGCTTTGTGTTGCAAGTCATTAAAGATGGATAACGTCATGAAGGTGGTCATCCAAACTTAATTTCATCCGATCCAGAAGCCTGAATCACCGTCAGTTTGACAGCCTTCTCAGAGAGAAAGACCACATCTATGGCCTGCCATACCACACTGAGGTAAGATGGTTAAGCCGAGGTGCTGTGCTGAGGCGTTTCTTTGATTTACGAGAAGAAATTGAACAGTTCATGGAAGAAAAGGGCAAACCAGTGTTAGAATTTCATTCCGCAGAATGGATGCCGGACCTTGCATTTATGGTGGATGTTACAGAGCACCTGAATAACTTGAACAAACAGCTGCAAGGGCGCAACAAAGTTGTCACGCAGTATTATGACAGCATACGTTCTTTCAAGTTGAAGCTGTCATTGTGGGAGACGCAACTTGCCGGTGGTGATGCAGCTCACTTCCCCTGTCTGAAAAATGTGTGCGCGACCCAACATGTGGCAGACATGAAGCGGTTCAAAGATAAAATAACGGGACTGTTACGGGAGTTTGAGCAACGCTTTCAGATTTATGTTTATATGTTTTTATGTTGATGTGCTATTGTTTTTAATTGTTTTTATTTTATTTGTATATTTAACATTTTCTTGACTCTGTGGTTCTTGCACTTGTTTGGGGAACAGGATTTCATTATTTTTATCTACATTTCTGCCTGAGAAATGACACCCTGATATAGTTCTGTGATCTGTGAAACAGTTCTGTTAATCACTGAGGCATTGTGTGTTTGTGTGTTCTTTTTCTTTAGAATTTTCTTTAGAATGTTTCATGATTAATAGTGATGTTGTGCTTGTACTATTTTGGACACACTGTCCTCAGGCTCCAGCTTTATGTTGTATGTTGATCGTATTAAAACAAAGGAAACAATCTGAAGTTGTTGTTTTTAAGTTATATATATACCATGATTTTTCCGGTCCGGCCCACTTGGGAATAGATTTTCCTCCATGTGGCCCCTGAGCTAAAATGAGTTTGACACCCCTGTCTTAAACCATACAAAATCTCTTGGCAATAGATACACTATATATACAAAAGTATATGGACACCCCTTCAAATTAGTGGATTTGGCTATTTCAGCCACACCCATTGCTGACTGGTGTATAAAATTGAGCATTACATTACATTTACATTTTCGTCATTTAGCAGATGCTCATATCCAGAGCGACTTACAAATTGGTGCATTCACCTTATAGCCAGTGGGATAACCACTTTACAATATGTATTATTATTATTATTATTATTTATATTTTTTGGGGGGTGGGGTAAGGGGGGGTAGAAGGATTACTTTATCCTATCCCAGGTATTCCTTAAAGAGGTGGGGTTTCAAGTGTCTCCGGAAGGTGGTGAGTGACTCCGCTGTGCTGGCGTCGTGAGGGAGCTTGTTCCACCATTGGGGTGCCAGAGCAGCGAACAGTTTTGACTGGGCTGAGCGGGAACTGTGCTTCCGCAGAGGTAGGGGGGCCAGCAGGCCAGAGGTGGATGAACGCAATGCCCTCGTTTGGGTGTAGGGACTGATCAGAGCCTGAAGGTACGGAGGTGCCATTCCCCTCACAGCTCTGTAGGCAAGCACCATGGTCTTGTAGCAGATGCGAGCTTCAACTGGAAGCCAGTGGAGTGTGCGGAGGAGCCGGGTGACGTGAGAGAACTTGAAGGTTGAACACCAGACGGGCTGCGGCATTCTGGATGAGTTGTAGGGGTTTAATGGCACAGGCAGGGAGCCCAGCCAACAGCGAGTTGCAGTAATCCAGACGGGAGATGACAAGTGCCTGGATTAGGACCTGTGCCGCTTCCTGTGTAAGGCAGGGTCGTACTCTCCGAATGTTGTAGAGCATGAACCTACAGGATCGGGTCACCGCGTTGAGCACACAGCCATGCAATCTCTATAGACAAAAACATCAAGGAGCAACAACAGCTCAGCCGCAAAGTGGTAGGCCACACAAGCTCACAGAACGGGAACACCGAGTGCTGAAGCGCGTAGCGTGTAGAAATCTGGCACACAGCAAATGCAATCTCCATAGACAAACACTGGCATTAGGATGGCCTTACTGAAGAGCTCAGTGACTTTCTACGTGGCACCGTTATAGGATGACACCTTTCCAACAAGTCAGTTCGTCAAATTTCTGCCCTGCTAGAGCTGCCTCGGTCAACTGTACGTGCTGTTATTGTGAAGTGGAAACGTCTAGGAGCAACAACGGCTCAGCCGCGAAGTGGTAGGCCACACAAGCTCACAGAACGGGACCGCCGAGTGCTGAAGCACGTCTGTCTTCGGTTGCAACACTCACTACCGAGTTCCAAACTGTCTCTGGAAGCACAAGAACAAGAACTGTTCGTCGGGAGCTTCATGAAATGGGTTTCCATGGCCGAGCAGCTGCACACAAGCCTAAGATCACCATGCGCAATGCCGAGCATCAGCTGGAGTGGTCTAAAGCTCGCCGCCATTGGACTCTGGAGCAGTGGAAACGCGTTCTCTGGAGTGATGAATCACGCTTCACCATCTGGCAGTCTGACAGACGAATCTGGGTTTGGCGGATGCCAGGAGAACACTACCTGTCCCAATGCATGGTGTCAACTGTAAAGTTTGGTGGAGGCGGAATAATGGTCTGGGGCTGTTTTTCATGGTTTGGGCTAGGCCCCTTAGTTCCAGTGAAGGGAAATCTTAACGATACAGCATACAATTACATTCTACATGATTCTGTGCTTCCACTTTGTGGCAACAGTTTGGGGAAGGCCCTTTCCTGTTTCAGTATGACAATGCCCCCGTGCACAAAGCGAGGTCCATACAAAAATTTGTCGAGATCGGTGTGGAAGAACTTGACTAGCCTGTACAGAGCCCTGACTTCAACCCCATCGAACGCCTTTGGGATGAATTGGAACGCCGACAGTGCCCAACCTCACTAATGCTCTTGTGGCTGAATGGAAGCAAGTCGACGCAGCAATGTTCCAACATCTAGTGGAAAGACGTCCCAGAAGAGTGGAGGCTGTTATAGCAGCAAATGGAGACCAACTCTATTATGGAGACCAACTATTAATGCCCATGATTTTGGAATGAGATGTTCGACGAGCAGGTGTCCACATACTTGTGGTTATGTAGTGTATATTGACCCTGAGTGACTTGTGTGGCCATGAGCTGTCCATTGTCGTATATGAGGCAACTTCTAGGCCACATCTGTAAAGCAGGGATTAGGCTATCCCTGATATGACTCCATTATTGACTACAGTCATCTCAGGGCTAGGATTAGGGTGGGATGACCAAAGGGTATGTAACAGTTACATTGTTTGACTGTTCCTGATTGACAGATACATACATGGCTTAAGGCCTCAGGTCTCGGAGGTGCTGTGTTGAACATTTTGTTAGATAAACACCCATGACTAAAAAGCAGAGAAATTTGAGACTATGGCGGGTGGTCCCTCTCCTCAACACACAATAACAGGACAGGGAATTACAGTCCTCCTCAGGGACCTGTACACACTACAACATTCTCACTGTTCAATAGTGGAGCATTCTCTCAAGACAATGTCTCACAACCAGTTGCAGTGTTCTCACTTCAAGTGTTGTGGTGATTCTCTAGGTTCAACGAGTTGAGCTTTTTCCTTCCAAATCCAAAGCCAAGCTCAGTCTGCCTCTGACGCCTAACTCGCTCTACTCTCTGTAGCTGACAGAAAACAGCTGCTTTCATACAGAGCTGGGGAGGTGGCAGAGGTGTGGCCGTCCCTCGCTTTCAACTGGATGGCAACTTCCAGCAGTGCTAGACGATGCCCAATTATGATGTTTTGATGAACTGTTGATGTTAAAGAAAAGGGTGGAGATGGAATTGAGGTCTTCCCTCTAAGATAGAACCTCGAACTGCACCCTCCATCTACCCCTTTACTTGTATCTACAAGTACCGTTTCACTACTCATGTTGAGGTATGCAAGATGACTGAAATGACTATGGGTACATACAGTATTTGATAATACTCTGCATTTCAGATGAGCCACTGAGTTGCACCTAGATAAAAACCTATGATGCATCCCAAATGGCACCCTATTCTATTTTTTTGTGCACTAACTTTGACCAGGGCTCTGGTCAAAAGTAGTGCAGGGGAATAGGGTGCCATTTTGGACGTAGCCATATTCATGGTGACCTGCATCTTGACGACATTGGGAAAGTCTCCAGGGGAGATGTGGTGTTCTCTCTGCAGTATGGTGTAGATCTCAGGAAGTCTCATGATCAGTTCCTCTTTCTTCTTCTCCTTCCCAAACAACGACGGCATCTCTTTCTTCAGGTAGCTGATGATGTAGGCATGCACCTATGTGAGAGACATAGAGAGAGTATAAGTATGGTCAAGTATGGGCGGCAGGTAGCTTAGTGGTTAAGAGCGTTGTGCCAGTAACCGAAAGGTCGCTGGTTCTAATCCCCGAGCCGACTAGGTGAAAAATCTGTCGATGTGCCCTTGAGCAAGGCACTTAACCCTAATTGCTCCTGTAAGTCGCTCTGGATAAGAGCGTCTGCTAAATGACCAATTATTTATATTATTTATTATTAGTCAAGCCTGAGCCACTTGTCTATTTACGTCATTTCCAGATTTCAGCTTTCCACATATTCAAATAAGGTCCTATTACACTATGTATGAGGTCATGCAGCTTTTGATAAAACTTTTGTCTACATCTCTGTGGTTTCCTTCCTTCTCCATGCTTGATATTTTCATCTGGTTTCATAATTATAATTATTATGATTTGGTGGGTGCTTACATTTGTCCTATTTCACACATGTTCAAGTGTGTATACGCATGTGTGAATTGGAAATGTTTTTTTTTTTGCATGTCCCAACTCCCCCGGAGACACCATCGGAGAGTGGGGTCACGGCCAGGGTCAGCCATTATCAACGGCAACCCTGTTGATGAGACTTGTACAGTGTATTTGTGAACTGAAATTGTATAAGGGGAAATGATAAGGTGGGTTAAAACAGAATACATCAGATAGAAGCTGATTGCATTCATTCACCAGGGTCCTTCAACCTCTCCAAGCATTGTTGGACCAGCAGGGTTATCAATATGTTCCTCATGTTTGCAAGTGCGACTCCACCTTGTAAATGTCCTTGTGAGGGGGAACATTCAACAACACCGGTGTTTACACAATAATTTCCTCAATAAAGTAGGTTTGGGAGGAAGTTCGCTCCAGGGGATGAAGTAAGGTTGTGCCTTTAGTTACCAGAGAATATGAGAATGTTTACTCCTCTTGGAAGCAGGCAGGCGCTGTGGGATGGGCAAACAGACAGACGGACGGACAGAGACAGACAGGGTTGGCGTAAACACTATGGTGCTGGAGTGCTTATAGACAGGCAGGCAGGGAGAGGTTCAGAGGGTGGATAAATAGGGCCTTGGTTTTTTGTCAGGACGTCATACATTCCTCTCTGACCAGGGGTGGGGGGCGACCGAGACCGACAGGGCCAACCTGGGGGTACGTACTGACTACTTTACTACCTCACATGGTCTCACACACTCTCAGCATAGCAGGAAGGAATGTGGAGAGCTGCCGGATTTCTGTTTGTTTGGCCAGTTGGAAAAATATTGCGGAAGAGATAAGGCTACACTCTGAGGAATGACCCTCCTCTGTTCTGTATAAATTGTTCCGTGTGCTGCAGGGAGACTTAAGTACCAGCCTGCTCCATGTAATGCTGTGGAAGGAGCTCTGAATGGAAATAGTGGAAACCAGGGGTCAAGGGGACCCAGAGGAAGTGTTCACTTTGCACAACAGACTTAAAGATGCAGTCCGGGATCTTAAGCACACTTTGGTGCTGATACGATATGTATTGCAATTCTATACTGCGATTCTATTGCGATTTGATGTTCCAAACATATTGCTCACTATATGTCTGCTGCAGAGAGACAAGAGAGAGCATTGTAAAATTAGTTTTGATCAGTTGCTGAAAACAAGTTGGCTCACTATTTAAAAAGAAGATCGAGAACAAGTTATAGGATGAAAAATACCAGAGTTTTGCAAAGGTACCGTACAGCCGACTAGCGCTAGCTAACACTACCTAGCAAAAAATATAAAATATTTTACAAATCGAGTCAAAGTATATTTAATATACCCATCACTAGTAGAGACATGGGTCTTACTAGGACTATTGGCGTCCAGGGACAGCACAGGAATGGGCAGGGACTGGGGGAGTACAGTTACAGTAACAGCTTACCTTAGCAAGTCGAGCCCGTTTGATGAGGTCATTGAGTTTGCGTAAGGCAGCGTTCCGGGGCAGGCCCTGGATGTCCTTGAAGAGGTCTTGGGTCTCTGCCTCAAAGAGCCTCCGGTTCTCCGTGTTCTGCAGGGGCTTGGCCCAGAACGAGCCTAGGTAGACCCTCACCACCTCGGGTGTGTTGATGACTTTCCCCAGGGACCACATCAGAGCTCCGTAGACCCTCATAAGCTGCTGGCTGTCCACCTGGTCAGCCTTGTTCAGCACCACGCGGATCTTGTCGTCCTGGCCACGGAAGGCCTTGATGGCCTCGGAGAACTCGTCTGAGATGTCCAGTTTGTGGGCGTCGAAGAGGAGGATGATGCGGTCCACCCGCTCTCCGAACCATCGCAGCACCTCAGAGAAATCATAGCCTGTTGAGTGGGAAAAACAAACAATATTACAATCATGACGCTGAGCCAACATTGAAGTAGTATCATTCTTGTATTAACAACTATTACAACTGATATTCAGCTGTACTGCTTTTGTTTGTAGTCTTTTGTCTGCAGAACATTTGATTTACAATCTATTGGAGTGCAATGATTTCCTGGACTTGAAAAGATAGATGTAACGCAAACAAATATCAGCAACAAATCACACACCAAGTCAGATGTTTATACTGTATGTCCTCTAACTAAGAGCGCTACTGTGGCCCAAGGGTGAAATAACTATCTAAAAGTCACCACTAGTGTTTATACAACAGCCAACCAGCACCTTTGAAAATGACTACACTATGGGCCTCCTGAAATAGAATTAGTGTTTACCTATGAATGACTGATATCCTTTATGTTTTTGTTGACAAAATACACACCACCAATGTACACACAGACGAGCCTGCAGGTACAGGTTAAATAATGTGCACCTGGCAGCTGTGGCACTCCTTTTATAAATATAATGTGTCGGCTCATTGACAAGTACTGGTATTTTAGAAGGTCGCCAGTATAAAGCATGCATACATACAGGTAACTGCCAAAATAAAGGAAACACCAACATAAAGTGTCGTAATAGGGCATAGGGCCACCACGAGCCAGGACAGCTTCAATGCACATTGGCACAGATTCTACACATGTCTGGAACTCTTAACGGAGGGATGCAACTCCATTCTTCCATGAGAAATTCCATAATTTGGTGTTTTGTTGATAGTGGTAGAAAACGCTGTCTTGGCGCCACTCCAGAATCTCCCATAAGTGTTCAATTGGGATGAGATCTGGTGACTGAGACAGCCCTGGCATATGGTTTACATCGTTTTCATGCTCATCAAACCATTCAGTGACCACTCGTGCCCTGTGGATGGGGGGCATTATCATCCTATGGGGGCATAGCCATGATAGCCAAAATAATGGCCTGCCCAGCATTTTTATACATGACCCTAAGCATGATGGGATGTTAATTAACTCTGGAACCACACCTGTGTGGAAGCACCTGCTTTCAATGTACTTTGTATCCCTCATTTACTCAAGTGTTTCCATTACTTTGTGCAAAGGACATTTCAATAAAATGATTGCCTGCATGGAAGAGTAGGCCTACTGTTATTGTCTTGAATAAGCAATGCATGATCATCTGAAATAATTGTGGTTTAATTTTGGAAGGAAAACGCAAAGTTGCCTTTGAGTAGCAAGGGATTGTAGTTTAATGAACGCATGTGTTGCTAACAAATTAAATTAAATGTTATTCGTCACATGCTTCGTAAACAACAGGTGTAGACCAACAGTGAAATGCTTACTTATGGGCATTGCAGAGAAAAAGAAAACAGAGAAATAATAAAAAACACGTAATAATAAAAGTAATAATAAATAAACAATGAGTAACGATAACTTGGCTATATACACAGGGTACCAGTACTGAGTTGATGTGCAGGGGTATGAGGTAATTGAGGTAGACATGTACATATAACTAGGAATAAAGTGACAGATAGTAAACAGTAGCGTATGTGATGAGTCAAAAAAGTTAGTGTAAAAAAGGGTCAATGCAGATAGTCCAACTATTTAACTATTTACAGTGCCTTCAGAAAGTATTCATGCCCCTTGACTTATTCCACATTTTGTTGTGTTACAGACTGAATTCAAAATGGATTAAATATTTTTTTTCTCACCCATCTACACACAATAATAACCCATAATGGCAAAGTGAGCAACCGGGTAAGAAGGACCTTGGTCAGGGGGGTGAGCCAAATGACCACTCTGACAGAACTACAGTTCCTTGGTTGAGATGGGAGCACCTGCCAGAAGGAAAATAGTCTCTACAGCACTTCACCAATCTGGGCTTTATAGGAGACTGGCCAGACGGAAGCCATTCCTGAAAAAAAGGCACGACAGCACGCCTTGAGTTTGCAAAAAGGCACATGAAAGTGCAAAAGATTCAGTGGTCTGATTAGACAAAAATTTTACTATTTGGCCTGAATGCAAAGAGCTACACTACCTGTCAAAAGTTTGGACACACATACTCATTCAAGGGTTTTTCTTTATTTTTACATTGTAGAATAATAGTGAAGATATCAAAACTATGAAATAACACACATGGAATCATGTAGTAAACAAAAACAAGTGTTGAACAAATCAAAATATATTTTATATTTGAGATTCTTCAAATAGCCACCCTTTGCCTTGATGACAGCTTTGCACACTCTTGGCATTCTCTCAACCAACTTCACCTGGAATGCTTTTCCAACAGTCTTGAAGGAGTTCCCACATATGCTGAGCACTTGTTGGCTGCTTTTCCTTCACTCTGCGGTCCGACTCATCTCAAACCATCTCAATTGGGTTGAGGTCAGGGGATTGTGGAGGCCAGGTCATCTGATGCAGCACTCCATCACTCTCCTTGGTAAAATAGCCCTTACACAGCCAGGTGTGTTGGGTCATTGTCCTCTTGAAAAACAAATGATAGTCCCACTAAGCCCAAATCAGATGGGATGGCTATCGCTGTATAATGCTGTGGTAGCCATGCTGGTTAAGTGTGCCTTGAATTCTAAATAAATCACAGACAGTGTCACCAGCAAAGCATCCCCATACCATAACACCTCCTCCTCCATGCTTTACGGTGGGAAATACACATGCGGAGATCATCCGTTCACCCACACTGCGTCTCACAAAGACACAGGTTCAGAACTTTTGTAAAACATCACAGTACGGTTGAAATATATATGGCAAATAGAAATCCTATATGGATGGTGTTAAGAGATAGATGGGAGGTATTGAATAGAGTTGAAGGATGGGACTAATAACAAATAACAACAAATAATAACAAAGATATCTAATAATGTAAGCATACTGTGTCCATAATAAGTATATAGGTTGTATGTTGGGAGCTTTTGGGAAAGAGCACAGTTAGAAAGATATGGCATATAGAAGCAAATCGGATGGACATCATGAAAATGATCGGAGAGGTTGAGAGTAGAAGAAGTTCAGGAGCAAAAAAAAAATATATATATATATATATATATATATATAAATAATAGAATTATTGTCAAATTAACTCTGTCCATAAGGTGTAGATAGTAATTATAGACCGGAAGTAGAGGCCTGGGCATTGTTGTTCACTAATTTACTCCAAGTAGGGAAAGGATGGTGGGGTTGAAAAGTAATAAAGGGGAGTATATATATATATATATAAAAAAACATGGGGGATTGGAAGTGATGCAGACAATTACATTGATAGAAGATACAATCTATCTGCAATATTAAGCTGATCCATTCCCCCCCCAAAAATACAAATTTTTTATATATAAAAAAAAAAAAAAGACAGCAGTTGGATCCAAAAATCTCAAATTTGGACTCCAGACCAAAGGACAAATTTCCATTGGTCTAATGTCCATTGCGCGTGTTTCTTGGCCCAAGCAAGTCTCTTCTTCTTATTGGTGTCCTTCAGTAGTGGTTTATTTGCAGCAATTCGACCATGAAGGCCTGATTCAAGCAGTCTTCTCTGAACGTTGAGATGTATCTGTTACTTGAACAATGTGAAGCATTTATTTGGGCTGCAATTTCTGAGGCTGGTAACTCTAATGAACTTATCCTCTGCAGCAGAGGTAACTCTGGGTCTTCCATTCCTGTGGCGGTCCTCATGAGAGCAAGTTTCGTCATAGCGCTTGATGGTTTTTGCGACTGCACTTGAAGAAACGTTAAAAGTTATTGATATTTTCCGGATTGACTGACCTTCATGTCTTAAAGTAAAGTAAAGTCAAGTCGTATCTCTTTGCTTATTTTAGCTGTTCTTGCCATAATATGGACTTGGTCTTTTACCAAATAGGGCTATCTTCTGTATACCCCCCCCCCCCCCCCCCCCCCCAACTTGCCACAACACAACTGATTGTCTCAAATAGTGTCAACTAATAGTCTTGGAAGGATCCTGCTTGATTCTGTAAGCATAATTGTTTTAACTTGTAAACTGTGTTGGTTCTGTCTGTCTGTCATAGTTAGTAAGCTACCCAGTCTGCTTAAAAAGCGATTGTTACCCATTCACACTGGACGCAGGGCCAGCCACTTCTTTTGTTCTCATTTTTACATTTTAGATTTTAGTCATTTAGCAGACGCTCTTATCCAGAGCGACTTACAGTTAGTGAGTGCATACATTTTCATACTGTTCATACTGTTCTCTGCTGCAGATTACAACTCAATAGGAGGGGGAGTGGCTACACTTGTGCTAGGCAATTAGCTTAGTGTTATTAGCACAACCTCTTTGTTCAGCGGCAGCTGTCTGCACAGGAATCCTCATCTCTCCCAAGTGGACATTCTCTCTTTTCCCCCTGACCCATCTGTCTATCTCCTCATTTGAATTCCATGCTGTCACAGTCACTAGCCCATTCAAGCTTAACATCCTTGTCATTTATCGCCCTCCAGGTTCCCTTGGAGAGTTCATCAATGAGCTTGACACCTTGATACGTTCCTTTCCTGAGGATGGCTCACCCCTCACAGTTCTGGGTGACTTTAACCTGCCGACGTCTGCCTTTGACTCATTTCTCTCTGGCTCCTTCTTTCCACTCCTTTCCTCTTTTGACCTCACTCTCTCACCGTCCCCCCTCACAAGGCAGGCAACACGCTTGACCTCATCTTTACTAGATGCTGTTCTTCTACTAATCTCACTGCAACTCCCCTCCAAGTCTCCGACCACTACTTTGTATCCTTTTCTCTCTTGCTCTCCTCCAACACTACTCACTCTGCCCCTACACAGCTGGTAATGCACCGTCACAACCTTCGCTCTCTCTCTCCCACTACTCTCTCCTCATCCATCCTATCATCTCTTCCCTCTGCTAAATCCTTCTCCCTCCGGTGTCCTGATTCTGCCTCCTCGACCCTCCTCTCCTCCCTTCCTGCATCTTTTGACTCTCTATGTCCCCTATCCTCCCGGCCGGCTCGGTCCTCCCCTCCTGCTCCGTGGCT